GCTGTGCTGTGATGAAATGGGTACGTTTTTTAAACATCCTATTTTTAAACTCCACATATAAAACAACCACATCCAACTGTTTGGTCTGGACTTGGCCATTAAGCCATCAGTTATAGACTGATTATATGTCTCCTAAGGTTTACCTAAGCAGTCCATCTGTCTAACAGTAAAGTGATGTGATTCTCATGAGACAGCTGTAGTCAAGCTCTCCAAAGGGGACAGTGATGAAAGATTACATTTCATACTTATTTATGAACCAGGTGTCGGTTATCAATATTTCGGGTTCTCATCGGCTTGCTTACTTCTTTTTGGAGGAGGCAATCTGATCTTGGCTGGGGTTCAAGATGTCGTTGATCTGCAGCTCCACTCCAATGTCCTCTGAAATCTTGGACTTCTTCTGGGATTTGACTTTCTTTTCCTCCTCCTTGTCCTCGGTTTTCCCTCCATCTTCCTCTGGCTTTTTATCTTCTTCTTTCCCAACATTCTCTCCTTCCGTTTTGGCCTGCCACAGGAAGAGAACATTTTATCAACTAAAAACTGAACTGGTGGTAGGCGGATGATTTTTTGGTGTGGAAACAATGTATTGCTAAATGGGTGACAGAATCAGACTAGCACATCCAAAAGGTGCACACCCAACTGTTAGAGCTGTATTTGACAAAACATTGCAGAAATCAATTAAATGAAAATATGTAAGGATATGACAAATAGAAATGTCATCTTTATTTTCTGTAATCTACGAGCACTATAAGGTTTTGAAACTGAATCTTGCTACGCAGGAAACGGCTAATTACCTGTGAATCCGTTTTCTCCGCAGATGTTTCGCCCTCAGCCTTCTCCTTGTTCTCAGCCTGGGGCTCTCCTTCAACCTTCTCCCCAGTCTCCTGCTTCTCCTCTTGGGGGGTATTTTCTCCTTTCTGCTCCGGCTCCTCTTCCTCTTTCCCAGCCTCCGCAGTACTTTCATCCTCATCCTTACAACATTTAAAATAAAAAAGAAACGTATGAACTGGGGTGGGGGGACAAGTGTTCAAATTCTGAGCTGTTGCAGGGAAAACACCCCCAATATCCATTCTTAATCTACGTGTTGCAGTCACGTTCCAGCTCTGTTGTTCTGTGAAGCTACACTGCAAAGAACACAAACACTGTCTTTACCTGGACAGGCTCGGATACATTTGCCTTGGGTTCAGAGCTCCCTCCTCCGAACAGGCTGGAGATTGTGTTTCCAAGTTCTTAAAAGATGTTATCGACAAAGAAAACAAAGATCATTGTAAGCATCAAGTCAAAACCAGCTGACAGCGCAGCATGACAGGCTTAAACAATTTGGAATTTGCACAAAAGATATTTTCTTTTTTAACCGATAAAAAAAATGCTGCTTCACAATGTGCTTCCAATTCAGATTAAGCACAAAAGTTAGCACCATTCCAAGAATTTTTAGATCCAACCAGGCCATAGGTTTAAAAAAAAAGTATGCACACAACAAGCAATGTACTTATTTAAGAGATCACGTAGCACGTATTATTTTCCCAACTCACTGGTGTACTCACTTGTAAGAGTTGATTCTTCCTCTCTCTCCTCCACTATGGTCTCGAACACCGATTCCACCTGCAAGAACAGATCCGAACCTCTCTTTATTCACTCCTGCACTCGTTCACAAATCCCTCTTTGCAAAACTCGAATGCAAATGGCTTCCTTTTCACATTTAAGAAGCTCAGTCACACTCTCCCAGACCAGTTGCAAAAGCAGAGGGAGGGAGGGTTAACTTACCCTGTCTAGTGTCAGAACGCCACTCTCGTCCATGTTGAAATGCGCCTTAATGCCCTTCGACTCGGCCTCTGTGTGCTTCTTGAAACTGCTGCCCACTCCCTTGAGCGCGACTGTGGTCAGATTGTGGGAGCCAAACACTCTGAAGAGGAAGGAAGGTTTAAAGAAAGGAACAGTAAGTACCGCAGACATGATGACCTGCTTGGCTGTTTCACCTCCGCGTGTCTGAACCTTATCTCATGTAGGAGGCAAGGAAAGCACAAGGCTTCAAGTACGAATACTGGATTTTCCAGCTTGTTCTAGACGAAGGACCTATTTTCAAAAGCCCCTCTTTATAAGGACCCGTCTGCCATGCATTGTTGATAAGGGGAGGGCTTGGCGATTCTCGATGCAAGGCGGGACTGAACGGGAGTGGCCGGGATGGCACAGCTGTGCTGGCAGCAGTTAGGACACACCTGAGGTCCTCAAGACTGAGGAAGCTGAGGTCGCCATAGTTGACGTAGAAGAGGAAG